CATCCCCAGCCCTTTTTTATATTTTATTTAAAGGCAGGGTCTCACTGAGTTGCTGAAGGCCTTACTAAGTTGCTGAGGCTGGCTTTGAACTCATGATCCTCCTGCCTCAGCCTCCCAGGCCACAGGGATTACAGGTGTATACCACCTTGCCCAGCCTTAATTTCCTATTTTTTTATGGCTGAGTAGAACTCCATTGCGTGTGTGTATATATATCTATCACAATTTTGTAATCTCTTCATCTATTGATGGGCATCTGGGTTGATTCCATAATTTAGCTATCGTGAATTGTGCTATTATAAGCATTGAGGTGGCTGTATTGCTGTAGTATGTTGATTTTTTTATCTTTTGGGAGAATTCCAAGGAGTGGGATAGCCAGGTATGTGGTGGTACCATCCCTAGTTTTTTGTTCCTCACATTTTTAATCAGGCCTGGCCTTGTGACTTGCTTTGACCAGTATACTAGGACAGAGGTAATGTGCAGGATCTGGATCCTAGGCCTTGAGAGGCCTACCAGCTTCCCTTTGGTCATTTTGGAGTCATAGCTCCTGTGTAATCAAGTCTAGGCTGTGTGTTGAATGGCTAGAGATTCTCAGTGGAGAGAAGTCTAGCCAACAACAGCATCAGTTCCCTAGACATGTGAATGATGCCCTCATAGACCCCAGCCATAGTCAACTGCCAGGTGACTGTAGCCAGAGAATGCTCCCAGGTCAGACTAGTACAGAAATCTCCTAGCTGAGCCCAGCCATCTCATAGACTCGGAAATAGTGATAACTGTTTTAAGTTGCCAAGTAAAAATGAAAATGGTCTTACTTCTAATTTTTTTTGTGAATTACTCTGTAGTACACTAAGAAGTTACAGAGCTTATTGTTGGTTTTGTCCCCCCACCCTCAATGCCCCATTGTTAATAGTTCTTTATTAATGGTGTACCTAAGGGCTGCAGAAAAGATATGGTAATTAAGGAGATGGAGATAGGAGCTGTTTTTAAAAAAAATGCCCTGTGTAAATCTTTCCATCCTGATCTTGTTTAGGGCACATAGAGACAATATTCTTCCCAAAGTCATTCAGGAAGTGGCAGAGTGGAGAACAGAAGCCAGAATTTTTAACTTTATTGCTCTTTTTATTTCACTAAGCTATCTTTCTTATCTGTCATATTATTGTTGATGCTGGTAATTTTTAACATCTTCCTGTTGGCCTGCAGCAGAGTTAGGCTGTTGTTTTGTAAAGGTTCCTTGGTTAATTTCTATTTTTAAGGTTGCAATGAAGGAGAGTGATTAGGACCATGATCTTGAGGTTTTATTAGTTTGTGCTTAAAAACGAAGATATGTGGCAGGGAAAAGTTGAGATGCTTGGAACTTAACTCCTGTAGTAGAGGCAGAGAATGTTGGCCTGGCAAATGAAAGCATCTCATGCAGTTGCCATTGGATTTGAAAGGAATTGAGACATTTTCCAGAAGCACCTGAAATGTGTCTCTTTTCCCAGGTAACCAGTGCAATGCCTTTGTGTTCTACAGCCGTCATAGAGAGATCTTGCTAAAGGAGAAAAGTTACTCTGATAAATAAAGAAGGAAAAGTGGTGCTTTGCTATTTTAACCTCATTTATCCTTTCATAACTTTATTATATCTCTCTTGTATTTTTGGAAAATGTGTAAAAATGTGTTTTTCTTTCTTTTTTTTTATTTTTTAAATGTAGAGGTAGCATTACATTCTGAGTAGCTTCTAATGTCACCATTGCTCTAAGTCTCTGTGTAGTACTCTTGAATGATAATGACAGAGCTGAGTGTCAGATTGTAGACAGGGCTGCATTTATCCATAAGCTCACTGAGGGCAGAGACTGATTCTGTATTCCAGCGCCTTCCATTATGTCTTCCATATGAGAAGTCAGCTTTTATTTAGCTTCAACACAGTCACCTCCATGATGCCAGTTGTGGGGTGATTTCAGACCTCATTTTTCTTGTTTCACTCTTCCTAGTGGAGAGTCTGGTCAAGATGTAGGTGGAAGGAAGAGAGTTTTACTCTCTCTCCCTTTCTTCTCTAACTCCTCTTCCTCCCCTACAACTTCTTGTCCTTCTTTTCTTCCAACTCCTCCTCCTCCTCCTCCTTTTCTTTCTTGTTTGTTTTCTCAGTTTTATGTATTTTCAAATATGAAGTTTATAGATTCTTGCTATATGATGTTTTGCCTGTATTTTTGTGTGGTTTTGATTTCTGTTTTTATGATTTAATTGTAAATGCTTAGGAAACTTTTCCTGGGGAATACAGGAAGGAGAACACCTACAGTACTTATTTTCTTGGGAAGCTAAATATCTTTCTAAAGGATACACAGGAGACTAATGACATTTCCTTTCAGAGAGGGAAGCTAGGTGTCTGGGAGCCAGGGGCCAGTACTCTTTTACGTTGGGAATTTAGACTCTGTGATTACTATTCCCTGGATATCTTTGAAAGTAGAGATGGAGAAAACACTAAAAGCATGAGAAAAAGGAACCCAGATACCCAGTTAGGTAAGAATAAATGCTGAAGAGGACGACTAGACATTCACCAACAGTAACAGTACTAATGCCATTTTTTCTTTTTAATGAGAGAGAGAGAGAGAGAGAGAGAGCGCGCTTGATTGATTGGAAAGACCCAGTCCACTTAATGCCTGAAGCTTCCAGTCTTTTTCATTCTTTGTACATATGAGTTTGTGACTTACTTTTGAGTGTGTTAACCTTTTATTGTATAATTACTTTCAAGAAGCATATTTGTTGGAAATCGTGTACATTCCTTGAAAGGGACGTTTTCATTGAAAGGGACATTTTCTCATATGTATTTAAAAAGCCACGGTGGAGAGGCTTGTTTTCATTGAAAGGGACATTTTTCTCATATGTATTTAAAAAGCCACGGTGGAGAGGCTTGAAGGCACCTAGTGTTTGCTTAAGGAGTGAAGGCTCTGCTCTCTGGCCTGTGGCTCCTGGCTCAGCAGTGTGGCCTCCTTTCCCTGAGTCAGAACAGAACTAGGTCAGATTTCTAATAATAAGGGTTTGAGGGTAGAGTAAGGAGACACATGGCCAGGTAACCTTGGAAAATTACTCACCCTTACTTCACTTCAGTTTCTTCATCTATAAAGTAGGGAAGTTAACACCTGCTTTGTAGAGTTGGTTGATGAATCAGAAGTAATATGCAGAAACCGCCTAGCATGGAACCTGATACTTCATGGAGATGCTTAAAAATGGCATTAGTAGTGTTACCGTTGGTGAATGTCTGTTCATTTTAGGCCCCTTGGAGGAGTGAAAGATGTGAGATTCTTTTCATTGCAATGGAAGATAACTTTTTAGGGGAAGAAAGAGTAAGAATTATGCTATTATGTAACAAATCACCACAAACTTAGTGCTTGACACAACAAAGAAATGTTGTTTCTCGTGGTTCTATGGTTTGGCTGGGTGTTCTCTGCTTGTTTCCTTAGGATTTATTTGTGGTGGTGTTGTCTGATGATGACTAGAACAGCTAGATGGCCCCAGATGGCCTTGGGAACATGTCTGATAGTCACTGTTGGTTGGAGCTATTGATTCTTCTCCATATGGCCCCTCTTGCTCTAGTTGCTAGACCAGCTTCCTATAACATGGCAGTCCCAGGGAACATTTAAGAGGGCCAGCTCTAGGGATTGCTGATGAGCTTCTGCCTCCTTCACAGGGTCAGCCCCAAGTCTCTGTGGGAGAGGACTTAGGCTTCACCTGGGTTGGAGAGGAGTAGCAAAGAATTTGTGGGCCATTTTTTTTTTTAATGTGCAATTACTATCTACTTGACATTTATTTATTTAGGCTAATTTTGGGCACAGAAAAAAAGGTTCTGTTGGTTTCTCCAGTTTGCCTATATCATTTATACCTTCTTTAGTCTAATATAAAAAGCTCATGAAGGAACTGGAGGAATTGTTTGGACCACAAATTGGAAGAAAATTAATAACTACTTTTATGTGTTTGAAGATCTTCCCTCTACATTCCTGTTTCATATTTTGTCAGGGAGGTGCTGCATCTCCCTGAAGATGGGTTTCCTATGGGTCTTCTTATGTTAAAATGAAAGGAATCAAATAATTTTAGGAGAGAAGAAATTGAAGTAAGAAATGCATGTGCAGAATTGTACTAGCCGCTTGCTATAGGTTACTGGATAGATTGTACAATACATCTAGTTAAAACTGTTTTGGAGTGCTGGGGGTCCGCTCAATGGTAGAGAGCTTGTCTAGTATGCACAAGGTTCTGGATTTGATCCCCAGCACTGGGGGAAAAAAAATCCACAGTTTTGGTACTTCTCCCTTATCATGCGTTTTGCATTGTCCAAACATGATTTTGGGATCTGAGTTTATAACAAAACACCAGACCCAAATGGTGCTTCTGTCAACCGAGAATACTGTGTCAGTAACTGATCAGAACTTGCACCTGTGTGCTTTTTTCCTTTCTTCTTTCTCTTCTTTTTGTGGGGAGGAGGCAGCAGGGGTTTCTTCTCCCCCCATTGAAAAGGTGCTGAGCAAGAAGTGTGATGTAAGTGCGGTGCCTTTTGCTTTGGTTAATTTAACCGAGCTGGCGATTTTGATCAGTGGTGTGTCTATGGAGCCTGTCCCATTTCTGGTACTTAGTTTTTTGGAAGATTCAGAGGAATGCCATAAGCTGCAGCACTTACAGTGATTCAGACACAGAGTAATGTTAGGTTTTTGGTGGGGAGCAAAATTAAGCTACAAATAAACAAAGCAGAAAATTGCTTTCTTGACTAGTACATTTACAAGCTGGGAGATTGTGAAAAATGTCAACCTACCAACTGTGTGGCTTGTTGGCTCTTTTCTTTGGGCTTCAATGTTCTTCCTGATAAAAATAATAATTACATTACTCCAATATGGTTGCCAAGTGTTCATGCTTTGCACTCCTCATGTGATTATAAATGGTTCTACAGCATGAATTGCTTTGTCCTTGATTTAATGTTTTACAACATTGAGTGTTATGTTATCTGTGCTAATTTGTTGTTCTCTTCTCTTACTTTTCAGAATGGACTGCTGAATTATGAAGTATTTCAGACCCAGTAGCAGAACATCACTCAGCCACTCACTCCTTTATCTCCTACTAGTTATTTAAATTGGACTTTTAATATCCTACCAGCTGCTCTTCAGACACACATGGTGCATTGTTACCATTCCCCGGATTGCATCTTTGAAACACAAGCTCTTAGTAACCTTCAGCAAACAAAGAGGCAACCTCCCGGGTCCGTCTACCGGGAGGGAGTCATCCTGACTGCCCTCTAGCTTTTGCTGGATCTGGATTTGAATTCCACCATGGAGCCTCGAATGGAGTCCTGCCTGGCTCAGGTGTTGCAAAAGGATGTGGGGAAACGACTGCAGGTTGGCCAGGAACTTATAGACTATTTCTCAGACAAACAGAAGTCTGCTGACCTTGAGCATGATCAGACCATGTTAGATAAGCTTGTGGATGGACTCGCTACCTCTTGGGTGAACTCTAGTAATTACAAGGTAAGCTGTGCTATAGATGGAAGGTACTCTTGAAGGTGGCTGGGCTGCCTTGGTGGATCAAAATTGGTCTCTAAAAAAATATCCTTTGTGAGCAATCAGCATGATTCCTGAACTTCGAATAAGATAGTCATGCAGGTTGTGGCTTTTGAAAACTGGATTCCAGAGCAAGTAGAGTTTTCTCTGATTTTTTTTTTTTTTTTGGTTGAAGATCAAAAAATTCTTGTCTAAGCTCTTTGAGAAAAGGCCAAGTGAAGAGATAAGGAGAGGCTTTTATGTGTACAAGCATTTGTAGTCTTGACATTAAAATGTATTTTGTGTTTTGCAGTGAATGAGTCATGAGACCTTGGTGAGTGGCTCTTCACGACTAACAGGTGTCTTCACTGATTTTTCTCTTGGGGATCAAGTTGAAAATAGGATGTGGAACATTTTACCTCTGGTCACTGTTTTGAAGTCTGCTGGGTACTTGGCCAGAAATAGAATGGGTTGTCAAGGACTCTTCATCCATGTGTAATGGCAGAGAAGACATCCTTCAGGTCTAAAGATTAAGGCTCTTCATGTGTCCTTGAGGATGGAGGTAGAGGTGGGCATCAAATGAGTTGTGAAGATTGATCATTATGCCAGTCAAAGAGCTATCATGAATGGAAACTAGACAAGACTTGAAGTGGGGAAGTGGTGTCCTCCCTCTGTCCCCTCTTCCACCTATCCCCTTACTCCACACATACTCTTTCAGTTTACAGAGGAGGTGGACTACTTGGAACCAGGCTCAGATGGAAGGAGGATCGAGAATTTGTGTGACTGCTAATAGATGCAATAGGCATTGTAAAAGGGATTTAGAGAAACCAAATCTTTAGTGCTTTTGTTAATTGACACAGTCTTATGAAATTGGTTTGGACTTATAAGCCAAGATTCCTTTATTTTCTCTATCGTACACTATTTCCCCAATACATTAGACCTCTTGTTTAAAAACAGAGAAGCTTTAGACCTGCTAACCTTCTACCTAGGGTCCTAATATTTCATTTAAAACTGAATATAAAATTTATCCTACCTGGTTTTGGAAGCTTAGCTAAATTTCATTGTTTTTTTTTTTTTTTTATCCATTTGGCTGAAGTTAATGAGAGTTTTTTCTGACTCAGCACTGGTGCTGAATGGTAGGAGTGTTAAAAATGAGAGGTCAGAGACAGTCCAGTTGTTACATTTTTGAGGTCAGTGAAGTCACCTTCTCTCTCTGTTTGAATTACAGCTCCACTACTTTATTTGTGTGCATATTAAGATCCTTTTGGCTGAGAATAACTAAAAACCAACTCAGGAAACTTAAAATCACTATGAAGAAATTTAGTATTTCAGATAAGCCCAGCTCTTTCAGTAGTTGAGGCGATGTTTAGGGAAGCAGAGTACTTTAAGAGTGCCTTCTATATGGGAAGAAACCTTTCTCAGAAGCTTCCAGTCTAAAGTTCCATGTGGCTGTGGGAAGGAGGGAGGGTATTTGAATGTACAGACTCTTGTGAGGAAAGAGAAGGTTGATGATGGTATTGGGGTAATATGGATGCTTATTAATAGAGTCAGTTTCACTGTGGGTACCTTCTCCATGCTCAGTTCCCCATCTATAATATTGGACAAGTTATTATGAGCCTTAAATAGGGAGTGAATATAAAGTTACCACATGCCTGCCACGTGCACAACACTTGGGTGTTAGTGGTTGTGAACTCTCAGCCAATGGGCAGGATTGGTACACAGAACAAAATTATGGTGTGTGCAATATAATAAAACAAGAAGAACATAATGAAAAACCAAGGAGTGACACCCTGCCTAGAGGAATTTGGGATTTTGAGGATTGGGTACTTTTTCCAGAATATCATTGGCAGGGTCACAGAGAAATAAAAGATTAAGATTTGACTTGTTGAGAAGTAACTCTTAAGCAAAGACAGCTTGTTGTGAAGTCAAATCGGGAACGCAGGGTTTGCTACGAACTCTCTTGTAACCTTGGACAGTTCGGTGAACCTGCTTGTTTAGTACAGATGTTAGGTGAGATAATCTCTTAGGAGTCCTCAAGTTCTAATATGACTTACCACAGATGGTTTTGCAGTCAGGAGCATGTCCTGTGGTTCTTATGTCACACAGTGCTGAGTAGCCCTGGTCTCTAGGTTCTCCAGGTGTGGAGACAGCCTGTCGTGTTCCCAACCACAGCCAGGCCTGGAACGGTAGGTGCCTTCAAGTACTGGTTACGTGAGTGGACCCAGGAACCTACACTGCTCATCAAGTATTGCTGGTTGCTTTCTTGAAACTTTTTTCCTCTTAATTGTAGATCAGGATTTCTCACTCATTCTGAGGTACATTTTAAGCTTTGTTCAGCGTTTTTAAACAGTGTGAATAGAAGGAATTAGCTTTATATTAACAAAACTTTGAGGCTGTGCTTCTTGAATTCTTTTTTTTTAAATTAAGGACTAAAGAGAGAATAAGAGGAGAGAGGTGAAGTAATTTTGGTTTTCTAAAGCAATATACTCTATGTGTATTATTCCTTAACAGGGAAGGTAGATGAATGCCAGCCCAGTGTCTTATTTGACAAAATATTTGGCTGTAGCATGAATAACTTTACATTTGAGTGTTTATTAACATGATAGACAAATTTGTGTGTGGTATTAATTATGATTTAATAGCTACCATTTATTCCTTGCTTATGCATTAGACATTTTATCTGGCTCATCTCATTTAGTCTGTATGACACCCCTGCAGGGCAGCTTGTAGTATTCTAATATCATACATGAGGTAACAGAGGCCCAGAAATAGGAAGTAATTTCTGCTAGTGATTATGGAATTGGGATTTAAATATAGGTCTCTCTGACTTCCTAGCCAGTCCTCTTTCATAAGAACAGGGGTCAGCAAACTTTTTCTCAAAGGCCAGATAGGTAAATATTTTAGGTCTTGTGGGCCATATAGTTTATTCTTGTAAATATTCAACCAGTTTGGGCCCTTTTATCATAAAAGCAGCAACAGAGAATATATAAATGGATGGATGTGGCAGTGCTCCAATGATTTATAGCCGCTTTGGTCCTGCACTAGAACATTGAGCACCTTGTACCTCTGCAGTATGCAGTTTTTCTTCAGTGGTGGGAATCATTAGTGATTCTTCTGGGAGAAGAGTAGTAAGGCCAATAATTTGCTTCTAATTTGGGAATGGTGGGAGCATTAGTTTAGAGTTTGTTTTTGGACCCCTTTATATATATTGCCTTTCTTAGCTTTCTCACTCAGTCTTCATTGGGAGTCATATTGAATTCTGTTAATGTACCACTGATAATCTAGTGAACTAGCCTTGGACTCTCTTGCAGTAGAAGTCATGTTGGGGGTTGAGGAATTGGTCATTCCTCACACATACATTCCTCACACTCATACTCCAGAATACCACCAGGGCCACACCACGGGAGTGCTATTACAGTGACCACGGGAACCTGGAAGGAGACAAGAGACTTTTCATTCATAAGGCTTTTTTTAGATTATGTGGAAATCAAAAATAAAAATACACTCCCACCCCCATAAATTTGAATATGGCTGTCCTTAATAATATGGGCTCCTCTTTTTGTTTTCCTTGATTTAAAACTTGAAGAAGGGGAAAGATAGTGAGATAGATTCCCGCACTGCCCTCTAGCCATCCTGTTTATCCCTCCTCCCTTTTCCTTTGGGTAAAAGGAATGAAAAGTTCAAGAGTAACCTGTTTTGGAGCTGCAGCCTGGGCTGTGGTACCTGGAGGGAATTGAGAGGCTGAGCAGCTTTCCCAGTCATCCTGACAACTTTATTATTGCCCGCAGCAGCGTTGTAACTTGCAGCCTTATACCCTCACCAGAGTGAGCATTCATTCCTTGATGACTCAGTGGGTACAGAGTTGCCTAGTGGGGGCCTCCAGTACTTTTGTGAATATAGTCCTACCTGTCTTCTCTGCAGTTCCCAAATCCCAAAAGCTCTGAAAGCCAAAGTTTTTCATAACTCATTTGTCATTTGATCTGAAGTGAACTGATACAAAACTATTGATAGCCTTTATTTACCTACTTAAGGCACTGTTTTACTGCAAAAATATTAATATATTTGATTGTGGGTGCTGACCCTGATTCTGTTCAAGGGGTTATATACACTGATCTTTCCAACAGCCCCAAAATCTGTTATCATAATACTTTGGTCTCTAGAGTTTTTGATATGTGATTATGGACCTGCATTTAATACTATAAAATAATAATGATTTAATACTATAGAATAATAATGTCCTAGCCTGTGGCCAGGACACATTGACTGTGTACTACTTTAAATTACCAGATACAGTGGGTATTGTTATTTCCATTTTATAGATGAGAAGACCAGGCTCCAAGAAGTCAGGTAACTTGTTCAAGGTGATAGAACTAGTAATAAAGATTTCTGGGACTGGAACCAGGTCTTTAAGCAACACCTAAATTTAACCACTTTCATGTGCCAGATTCTGTACCAGGAGCTCAGTGTACAGTGGAGAAGATGAACACGTCTCTGCCCTGACATGAAACAGTCCTTGCTTAGGCTGTTTAGGGTTGTTGAATCTGATATGTGTGGACCTATTCCTATGCACGTTAGTTTCGAGGCCCATGCCATATTGCTTTCAATCTGAAATTTATGGGTTCTTGATTAATCTAGAGCTTCCACTGTCTCTGTCCTGAAGGATCTGTGGTTTGATTGGATGGATAACTAAGGCAGATGTGCACAACTACACAACGTAAAACAGGAAAGGATTCAGTGTTATTGCATGACAGTGTATGCTGCAGTCTGGCTGGGCACAATTAACGAGCCACTTGTCAAGCAGAAACAAACTTTATTTTTAGAACACTCAGGACTTACTACACAAGCTCTTCAGGAATTCCCTCAGAGCTCAACTGCCACCACTGGCTTCTGGTGAGCCTCTCAACCCTCCCCCCCACTCCTCTTGCTCTTGAGGCCGATTGGCTGGGTCGTGTGGGCGGAGCCAAAAAAGTCCCCCAGTGAGCAGCTCC